AAAAAAAAAAAAAAAAAAAAAAAAAAAAAAAAAAAAAAAAAAAAAAAAAAAAAAAAAAAAAAAAAAAAAACAAAAAACAAAAATTTAAATATACAATATATACTATATGTATACCATTCTTGCAAATATTGTTCTGCCGTATAACGTTGCGATGGGTCGACATTAATCATATGTTTAACCATTACCTATAATTTTTAATAAGTATAAATAACCAATGGAAAATAACATGACACGAATAACACGAATAACATGAAAAACACGAATGACACAAATACCACAAATGAAACAGATATCATTCATACTTTCATATCTTCATCCTCAATTTTATCTAAATATATACTTGGATCATATTCCCCTGATCTATATTTGAATAATTGTGCAAGAGAAAATATTGGTGTTCCCTCCAAAAATACTTCTGCTATAACACATCTAAAAGAATCAATTTAATAATAATAATAATAATTTATCAGTCAAGAAATCATCCAAATAAACTATTATATGATTATGATAATAAAATTAATAAAAATACAGCACCCTAAAGAAAAGATGTCCATAGCAGGAGTGATTGCACCATCCTTTTCTCCAAATTCTAGTTCACTCTAAATATAATAAAAATGAATCCACAATAATTTAATTAAGTAAATATAATTTAAAAATTTAATTCAATAATAAAACAATTTAAATTATAATAATGATAAAATTTAAATTATAATAATGATAAAATTTAAATTATAATAATGATAAAATTTAAATAATAATAATGAAATCATTTAAAAAAACAAATTATATATAGACATTAATAGTATATAAAACCTTTCTTCTATCAATCTCACTACCAGGTTTGTAAAATCTTTCTGGAGCAAGGTAACAAGTTCTTCGTGAAGATGTGTCAAAGAAGAATGAAAAATCTGCTGGATTATCCTTTATTAATATTAATATTAAATAAATAATAATAAGTTTAATGTATATATATAATAATAATAATAATAATTAATATAATAATAAAAATACCTCCGGCAAATAAGTAGGTTTATATCCAGCAAAATCAGCCAAATAAACCCAATTCCATGAAGTAACAAAAATATTTTCTGTTTTAATATCTCCATGATAAATCTATTTATAATTATTTACACAAATTAAATTTAATAACAAAATTTTATAAATTATTATAAAATTATATATTATATTAAAAAAAAACATTAACCCCTCTAGTATGAGCATCATGAACACCACACAATATTTGATATGTTATCCATTTTTTCTCAATGCAATTTAAAAATGGACGTGTGCTAAACAATTAAATAAATTAAATAAATTGAATATTTGATATAAATTAATAATTGATATAAATTAAATAAATTGAATTTATAAAAATATTATTTAATTAACCTTATACGATCATAAAGACTACTAAAAAAATATTGTCTGATTATATATCCCGCTTTTTCTGTCTCAATTATTCTTTGATATGGAAAGGCATTTGGAACTTCTGATAATGCTTCTTTTTCCTCTAAAAAATTTTGAAAATTTCTATTTAAATAATAAATTTATTTATTAAAAAAATTGAAAAAAATTATATTTATGAGATAAAAAAATAACCTTGAAGCGCTTTAACAACGTTTGACAAGGACAATCCGGGTGTTGGTTTTATAAATATTTTTACCACCACAAGACCTTCTTTATGTCTTCCACATATAGTCTTCATAAAACGTGCACTACTTAAACTATATAAAAACTAAATAGATCAATATCTTTTTTTATATAAAAATTCCTTGGATATTATATCATTGGATATTGGAAACAAAAATTATGATCTACCTTCGTTCATATTCAATATCTCCAAGTTCACTAACATAACTATCGATACCTGCTGTTGCTATCGAAGTTGTCGTACTTGATATATTATTTCCCATAATTTTCTAAAAATATTTGTGGCAAAGGATTGAAGGGAAATCTAGATTTAATTCCACGTGATGATATAACTAATCCAAGCAGTGACCCTTAACTTTGACCAATAATAACTAATTTTATGGTGATTGTTTAAAGCAGTGTCCATCACGAGATTTTCCGTTGAATTTTGTTTATACGGATCAGCCCGACGAAGAAAAAGGTGAAAAGTGTCGGCGTCAAATAATTATAAAAACGGCAAAGGTGAGTATTAATCGTGTTTTTTTTGCCTTCTAAAGAAACAAGCTGTAAACAATTAATATGTCCAAATTACTAAGTTTCATTACTTTGAAAATAGTACATCATGGAGTTTGGAAAATTTCTACAATGGAGTACATTATATGCTCACGATTTTGGAAGTAAAGACAATAAGCATCGTATTTACAAGATGTACTTGGAAAATATTTTTAAAGATCCGAATCTAATAAAATCTCGTGATAATGAAACAGTTCAAAAATTAGCAGAGACTTTAGAGAATTTAAGGTTTGTAAATTATATGGTACGTCTGACTATAATTGTTGCCGAAATTAGCAAAAATTACAGCATTACGGCAGGCCGAGATATTTTAGGTTGCCGAAAATATTTTAAGCTGCCAAAAATATTTTAGGCAGCCGAAATTATTAATTATCTCGATCCTCAATTTTAAATATTTTGCATCAACTTAATATTGCAGTATATACAGTCCATGATACTATAAAAAGATATAATGAAACAGGTTCTCTACATCCCCAGAAATATCCAGCAGGCCAAAAAAATTTACTGAACACAATGCAAGAGTTTTACAATGTATTATTCATGATGCTCCTTTGGGCAATATAACAAACCAGTTTAATATTAGACTTAATACCCAATTAAATACAGCAACTGTACATAAATATTTGTACAATACTGGAATTAACAGTTGCGTTACATGTTGAAAACCTTTATTAACTAAAGTAAAATGAAAAAAAAGATTACAATGGTGCTGAGAACATCAAAATTGGAATGAAGAATGGAAAAATATTGTATGGTCAAATGAATTCAGATTTGTACTTTTTGAGTTAGATGGACATGTGAAAGTAAAGAAAGGCTGGAGAAGCTTATAATAAAGATTGTATTAAACCTACTGTAAAGTTTAATAGAAGTTCTGTAATATTTTGAAATTGCTTTGATTAGGCAAAAAATTGTACAAATTTTCACTTCATAAATTTTCACAAATTTCAATATCTTCGGAGGTTTGCACAAAAAAATTTCACAAAATTTTACAATATTTTACAATATTTTATAAAAATTTTACTAAATTTATAAAATTTGTATTTATATATGAACAATTTTTTACATTTTATAATTTATTAATAATTATTATTTTATTATAATATTTCAAATATTATTATTCCATTAGGAAATTTTTGGAAGCAAATATATCTGGATTTAGAAAAAATCCAGATAAATTTATGAATTTATGCAAATATATTTATATATATTTAGATTTTTTTAATTTTCAAATATTTGAATATTTTTTAATTTAGAAAAAATCTAAATAAATTTGTAAATTTATACAAATATATTTGTATATATTTGAATTTTTTCGATTCTCAAATATATTCAGATATATTTACTTATCAAGAAATTTTTGGAAACAAATATATTCAGATATTTTTTGATTTAGAAAAAATTCAAATAAATTTACAAATTTATGTGAATATATTTGTATATTGGATTTTTTCAATTCTCAAATATCTGAATATATTTGAAAATCAAAACTATAAAATACACCAGTGATGTTGTACACCATATCATATGAAAAATAAATTGTGCCACGTGAATTATATGATTAGTTAAATTTTCTTATCACATTAATAAATTATAATTATGTGTTTGTGCTATGCTTTTTATAAATAAATAAAATTAATGAATGCACCATACTTATCTATTTCCATTATATCACGAAAAATGCCATATCCTCATGCATAATAAAATAGTTTTTTTTACGATCTGTTTCAAGTTTTCTCTTCTACTTCTCCATTTCTAGATCTTAATCTTTCTTGTTCTGAAGTTTGTGATAATAACCATAACTCCTTGAGATACACAAAGTAAAGTCATTTGATCAAAATAGTATTTATAATTCCAACTTAATTAAAAATTCAGAAGATATCCTTTCTAGTGAACTTGTTGAAAATAAAGAAAGACCATTTTATCCAATAATATCAGAAATATTTTTTAACGATTGGACAAATCTTGACAAGTATGTAGTACTTAGAGAGGTAATCATCTTTATTTGTTAGAAAAAAAATTAAAAAATTTTTTATTTTAAGTTGACTTAAAAACCATGGGTTGAAGTAAGGTTTTGCATTTACAATCACTAATCAAAAATTGATAAATAATACACATATCAGATTATACCTGCCACCCAAATTCAAAATCCAAATGCCGAAATCTCAAATGCCAAAATCCCAAATCCCAAATCCCAAATTATGATTAGTATTTTTTGCCAAAATTTCAAATCCCAAATCCTAAATACTAGTAATTTGGAATTTTGACGTCCCAAATCCCAAATCATTTGGGATTTAGGCAACACGTATATATCAGATACTCGATATATATATTATTTATCAATTTTCGACCAGTGAATTACTTATAGTGAGAAGGATAAAGAAGATTGTTTACCTCAACAGCATATTTATGTGTATACTATACAGTGGGTGATCAAAAATCACCGGACAGTTGAAAATTTTTAAAAAAATTACTAAAATTAAAATGCTAATTGTATCACAACGAGTGATCTAATTTGCACAAACTTTTTTTTATTAGATTCCCCTAAACCAGAGCTATTATATAATATATTTT